GTTACCTCTTTTGTCAGCATCCATCTATTCCCTTGCTCTGGCACTTGCATTAGAAAAGTGATGGAGGGTTCCAGTCCAGCCTTTGGGCTTCTTGCCCAGCACTGCATTTTCTTTTCATTTTGTTATCATCCTGCGCTAAGTTCCAGGTGATTTCATCAGGGCCCTCTTCCTACACACTGTCTCATCAGCCTGGTCATCGTCAAGTGTGTACCCAGAGGAATGAAATCAGACAGTGGAGGGGACACCTGCACTCCCATGTGCACTGTAGCACCATGGGTAGTGTCTGTGACATGGACTCAACCCGTGTGTCTGTCTGCATCTATTACTTTTCTCATTGCTGTGACCTCATATGTGACTAGAAGCAACTTAAGCAAGGAAGGGTTTGTTTCAGTTCATGGTTTTATGGGACACTCCTTCTTGGTAGGAAAAGGCATGGCGGCTGATGTTGTTCTCAGTCATGCTGGCAGAAGTGTGCGGCTGCGTTCTCATATCTGGTTAGATTGGGAAGCAGATTCGAGACAAGAAGTGAGGTCAAATTGTAAACATCAAGGCCCACTCTGAGTAATCCATCTGACTTCATCCAACCCCTGGCCAGGCTCCATGTCATATGGGTTCCACAGCCTCTCAGACACCACCAGCAGCTGTGGACCAGCTGTTCAAGCAGAGCCTGTGGAGCACTCCCCACATTCAAACCATAACCACTGCCCCCAGTGAATAAATAGATGAAGCTGGTATCATGAATATGTATACTAGACTATTATTCAGCCTTAAAATGTGAAAAACTATCATGTGTGATAATAAGCCAGGCATAGGATGGCAAGTGACCCAGGATCCTACTTTAGCAAATGGTGGATATAACTGATCTCAATGCAGCTGAGAATATAAGATGGTTTCCAGAGGCTGAGGAGGGGTGAGGGTAGGAGGGGTGGAGATAGGCAGGTCAGTGGGCTGGAAAAATACCTTCTGGTGCTACAGAGCTGCAGAGCAGTGTGAATGTGCTCATTAGCAACTATTGTCAATTGGAGATTTAAAAAATGTAGAGTTTATCCTAACATGATTTTAAAGATCGTTATGTAAGAATACAAACTACAAGCCACAGAGCTCACCTGCTTAAAATGTGCTTGTCAATACTTTTGGGTTTTGTATTCAGGGAGGAGCGTGATGATCACCATAATTTAATTTGGGGATGTTTTCGTGATACCTGTTCCACCCACACTCTCGGTCCCCAGCTCCTGCTATTTTAATTTTTGTCTTGTTGACTCACCTGTTCTGGACATTTTGGACAAACAGAATCATGTAACATGTCATGCCTGGCTTTTCTCAATTAGCATAGTGTTTTCAAGATCTGTCACTAGTAGACTGTGGATTATACTTAGCTCCCAGTGTGAAGTCGGCCCACCATATACACCACATGCTGCCCTCCCATCTCTGAGAGACAGGCAGATTACTTATCCTTGGGGATATTATAAGTAAAATTTATCTGGATACTCTTTTGCACAATGTTTGCATGGATGCATGCTTTCATTTCTCTTGAGTATACAGTGGAATTGTTGGCTCATGTGGCAGTGCATTTGCTTTCTAGTGTGGATACACCATTTTCCAGTCCCATCATCAATGTGTGAGGTTGGGATCGCCCCATACCCTTGCCATTACTTTCTATTGTCTGTTGCCTTGATTCTAGCTGTGTTAACAGTATGCAATGTCTTCTCACTGTGGTTTTGAGTTTTGTCAATTTTGATTCATGTGGTTATTGGATCTTTTGGAAAAAAGTCTATTGCCCATTATTTTTTTCTTTTTGCTACAGTAACTATTTTAAGTTTATTTTGTCATTATTATTCGTGTGTGTGTGTGTATGTACTGTGGTGCATATAGTGTTCCAGGCATGTGACAATCAGAAAACAACTTTGGGCAGTTGATTAGGTTGCCAGTGTTGTGCAGAAATCACCCTTCATCTGCTTAGCCATCTTGCCATCCTCAAACAACTGTTTGTAAAACATGTATTTGTGAAGAGTCCCCTTCCTTATAGTACATATTGAAACACTTTCCCAATTCCATGAGTTTTCATGTTTTTGGTGACAGAATTTTAGCATATAAGTTTCCAAAGTTGTTGACACATTTAAATGCATTTTAGAATAATTTTTATGGAGATTGGTAATATTGTTGAAAGGATTGCAAAGAATCTATGCATGCCATTGGGTATTAATATCATTTAACAATATTACATCTGATAGAATGTGGACACAGAAATCTGTCAATAGTTATTTAGGTTTTCCTTAACTTCTATAAATACATGTTTTAGTTTCTCTGTGTATGGACACTGCCCCCCCCCTTTTTTTTTTGGTTTTTACGAGACAGGGTTTCTCTGTATTGTTTTGGAGGTTGTCGGTCCAGCCTGGCCTCGAACTCACAGAGATCTGACTGCCTCTGCCTCCCAAGTGCTGGGATTAAAGGCGTGTGCCACCACCGCCCAGCTGACATTGCCCTTATTATGTTAGACATATCATTTATTTCTTCCTCCTTATGCTCATGGGAATGGGTTATGTCTTTCTTCATGGACCATTCCTTGCTGGTGCATAGAAAAATAGGTGACTTATGTGCTGATCTAATTTCTGCAGCATCACTGACTTAGTCATCATTCTGATGGTTTCTGATTCCTTCATGGTTTCTACTTCCAAATATCATCTACAGACAGAAAGAGTTGGAACTCTTCCATCCCATGACTTTCTCTTACCCATTGTTCCAAGCTTGTAATCTCCATTAAAATATTGAGTAGAGGTGGCAATGACAGACCTTCATGTTTTATTCCTGATATGAAGGGAAAGCCAGTCTTTGCTGCCAAAAGTGATGCTAGTTGTGCGTTTTTCAGGATGGACTTCATCATGATGGGAAGTCTTATTCTTAGTTTGCTGTTTTGAAATAATTGACTGATTGATTGATTGATGATTGGCTGTAGTGCTAAGGAAAGAATGTATAGCTCCAAGCATGCTAAGCAGGTGCTCCACATTGGACTCATATCCAGCCCAGTTGTTTTTTTTTCTAATATTATGAAAGGATGTTGAGTGTTGCCAACTGATTCTTCTATATTTAGTATCATGGTTTTGTAAAACAGTCCAAGCAATAAGGTTTTAAGCTTCTGATTACATGCTTGGAGAAACCACTCAATGCTGAACAATCAAATAGATATAGGACTGAAACTTAAAACTCTAATTAAGATGGGCTACTCTGACTTGCTCACTCAGAATCCCTTTTCCTTGAGATTCTGGTTATTTCTCTGAGCCAAGAAACATCCTTCTCCATTCACCAGCATCCATCAGAATGGGAGACATTCCTTAGCCCTTGTTTCTGATGGATCTTAGATCTGAAATTACCCTACTTTGTCTCCTTTGCTTAAAAGGTTACTAAATGTTCTACATCTGCCTGTCTTAGACCCAAGAAGCCATGAAAATTTGCATACACAGCTTAAGAGTGCTTATATTGGTAGTGGTCATGCAGGGTGGCAAGTCCCATGATAAGGGTCTTAGACCACCAGGAGTCTCTTTTGGGAATCCTAGACAAACCAGGGAGTCTAGATAGGAGGGACTAGGAGTCCAGAAGGACTCTGGGTAAGAGAAACACAAGAGTCCAGATGTAACCGCCATGGGGTAGGAAGCCCGGAACTATTCTCCAGTAAGAGAAATACTTAGATTAACAATTATGGGGTAATTACTTAAGTCAGAGCTAGCCAGTAAGAAACAAGCAAAGACCAACAGCTTCATATTTAATATAACCTCCTGAGTGTTTATTTGGGACTGATGCGGCTCTGGAACCAGGCTGGCGGGAAGGCTCCTCTCAAGGAAAAAGCTTCTCTTTACAAGGGAGGATGTCACCTTCTCCTTCAGTCTGTCTTCTGTTAACATAATGGCTCTAGTTCCACACTGAACAACTATGTTTGATGATGCTGTTATGCGGAAAGCTCCAACCTGGTATAGAGAATTACATAGTGAGTTAGGGAGTGTGCCAGTAACTCAGCCAACCTTGCTTCCACAGCATATCTACCCTCCAATAACACATCAGCTTACTGATCTACTAATTTATTAATGGCACGAGTAGATTAATAGACTCATGAGGACAGCTCAAACTAGACTAGGGGGATGTAGAACTTCCTGCTTACCCTACAGTGCTCAGCACACACTGTGGAAAGGCTTCATCTAAAGATGGAGGTCTCATAGTTGTTCAGTCCCAAAAAACACACAGAGGCTTTTATATTCATTATAAACTGTTTGTCCAATGGCTCATCTATTGGCTAGCTCTCTATTAATTATTAGCCCATTTCTAATAAGCTATGTATCACAACAAGGCTGTGGCTTACCTATAATGCTCCTGCCTGTTACTCCTTTGGAGGCTTCATGGTATCTCCCTTGAGTCTGTTCCTCTGCCTTTCCTCTTCCCTGAAACCTCCTAGTCTGGTAGCCCTGCCTATACTTATAGCCTGACAACTGGAAGATTAGTATTTATTTATCAACCAATAAGACAAACTGTGGGGACACCAGACCTTGAACAGAGACCCACTTCCCCTTCGGCCTGGGAGCAGGCAGCTGCGAGATAATGTTTACTGAAAACAATTCAGTGCTATAAAGCTCTTTATAGGGCTCAGATAAGGGCTTGCTCACTGAAACACCATGACTTTGACACCCCCTACGGCTAGATGCTTCTTCCTGTTCCCTCTGTGGTGTCTTCCCGATTCTGGGGCTGGAGATTAAACCACCAGCCAGGAGGGTGAGAAGTCTGGGAGAGCTATGAGAGCTGTGAGAGCTGTTGGAGAATTGTATGTAGATGGATGGCAGAAGTCCTTAAAATGGGAAGTGTTTTTTCTTGGAGGTCTCCTCCTAAGCTGACTGGGGAAGCATAAAGTTTTCTTAAAGCAACTGACCGGTCTCTGTGTCATCTATCCCGACCACCTCGCTACATTCTTGGATGCAGGCTGCACAGCAGGTGCGACAACAAACATATTCACAGAACACAGAAGGGCATCCCACATCCTCTTCTCTTTTCTGTCTAGATAAAAAGAAAGGTTTTAATTTTAGTATAGTAAAGTTATATATAACATAACTGTTATCAAGCAAGAAATATAGTTAACAATATTTAGTTCACTAACATTTGGAAAAATTTAAAGAAAGTATTCTATCATCTATCTTATTTTTGTGAGTCTAAAATTTTATATGTAACTTATCTTGTGTCATAACTAAGGCAAACAATAACCATGATTATCTGTCTTAAACTCCATCAAAGACTCCAGAAGGATGATATATGAACTCTAGAAACAACAGAGACATCTGGCTGCCTGGACAATCACTCAAGGTTGCTCTGCAATGTTGGGGCATCCATCTTCAGCCTATTGGCCTAGCATCTGTGACAGATTTTCTGTGAAGCAGGATTTTATGAAGGGCTCTCCCATCTTGTCTTGACAAAGTTTTGCAAGCACACTTTTTGTGTCTTATTTGTTCAATTTGGATAGCACATTGTCAGCAGTCGAGGCAAGGACAATATTTTTTACCCAGTGGCTACTTTTGCCATAAAGAAAATAAACTCCATGTGGAGTTTCTTAGATGCCCATTATCTTCTCTGAAGCAGATTGGTACTTCCAATAGCATACATGTCTCATTGTCATGAAAAACCCTAATAAACCATTTAAAATGCTATATTCTGAAGGTCTCTGAAAGGTTTTGAAGAATACGTGTGCATTTGAAATATATCTCTGTGTATCTAGGAAACCTTATGTAACTATAAGTTTTGACTATTATAGATGACTACAATCTATATTTAATTATATACTATATTTTAAAAGAGCTGTATAAACACAATACCTAAACAAGAGGAGAAATATACATATATAAAGATTGACCTTAAATTTGTATCAATAAACCAAAATCCATATCAATGCAAAGTACATCATATTCCCTTTTTCCTTAATGAAAACAAATATTTATAAACAATATTTGGGAATGTGGGCATAGTTCTGCCTAAACTGCTTCCTGCTGTTTGGGTGCACTGTCAATCCCAAGGAGATCCTGAGAAAACCCAGAACACTGGGAAATCCTGACTGCATCATCTCAGCTGTTTTGGATGCTGGATCACCTGGACCACTGATTCATGAGGGGTTTTGCTTGGTCAAACCATATTAGTCTGGAAGGAATCCACAGGTTTTCATATTCTGTGGAAACAAAAGCACAATATCTTTTCTAAAGTAACCTGTCCTTAGATTTAAATTTTGAAGTAAAGGTATTTTCAAAATATATAAGTTGGATTAATCCAGCAGGATTTATAATCAAATATCTTTCAGTGGCTGTTGCTCCTTTTTTTAGCATTCAAACAATTTAAAGACAACATAATAACATACAGTATCCAGATGCTCTGTGTATGCTCCACCTTTATGTGACTTTTTTATTACTCTATTTCTTTTACTTTTATTTTTTCATTTTTTGAGACAGGGTTTCTCTGTGTAACTTTGGCTGTCATTGAACTCACTCTGTAGACTAGACTGGCCTTGAAACCACAGATATCTGCTTGCTTTTGCCTCCGGAGTGCTAGGATTAAAGCCATGTGTCACCACACATGACTATTTCTTTTTTTAAGGACTTTCTCCATACTTTTATCTTCCTCTCCCAAGCCTATGTATATTTTTAAAACACACTGTAAACTGTTTAGAGTTTTTTCCCTCTTTTTCTGACTGTGAGTCTTTAATCTACTAAGCAGCATGGCTATGATTAGAGTGACAGCTGACCCCACCCTTTTCCTTGGCTTTCTGAAAGTCTAGTTTCATTTCAGAGTTTCTAGATTCATGTCACCAACAAGAAGCATTCCACTGGTTGCTTGTAAGCACCATCTAACTATTTGGCAGCAGGGCCTCTTTTTATGTTTTATTTATTCTTATTTTTTATTTACCTTTTTACACATATTACTCTTAGTTCCCATTCCCTTCCCTCTTCCTCTAGCCCTCCATTCCTCCCAACCCCCCATCCCACTCCATCTCCCTTCTACTCTCCAGGGAGGGTAAGCCCTTCCATGAGGGATTTTCAGAGTCTGTCATATAATCCCGGGCAAGGCCTAGGTCCTCCCCTATGTGTCCAGGCTGAGAGAGCATCCCTTCATGTGGAAAGGGCTTCAGGAATAAATAATGATCTACTCTCCAAGGTCCCATAAGTTGCTGAGGCCTCTTCTCTGACACCCAGGTTGGGGGAGAGGGAGTGTCTGGATCAGTCCCATGCTGGTCTCTCAGTCTGGGGTCCATGCATTCCCCTTTGTTTAGGTCAGCTGCCTCTGTGGGTTTTGCCAGCCTGGTCTTGATTACTTTGCTCATCATTTCTCTTTGCAGCTGGATTCCAGGAGTTCAGTTCAGTGTTTAGCTGTGGGTGTCTGTCTCTGCTTCCATCAGCCACTGGATGATGGTTCTAGGATGGCACATAAGATAGTCATCAATATCATTATCAGGGGAGGGCATTTAAGGTAGCCTTAATGCCAGTTGGTGTCATTTTTGTAGATCTGTGAAGATCTCACTAGTGCCAGATCTCTTCTCCAACTTATAATGGCTCCCTCTATTATAGTATCTCTCATCCTTCTCTCCTCTATTCTTGTCCTGGCTCAACCTTCCTTTTCTCCCGTGTCCTCCTCTCCCCTCCTCTTCTCCCCCTATCTTTCTCCTATCTCCCCACCCCTCCCCCTGCTCCCAATCCAATTAGGAGATCTCCTCCCATAACCCTTTTCTGGGTTACAGTGCATATTTCTCTTAGGGTTCTCCATACTTCCCAGACTCGCTAGCAGTGGGATTGTAGGCTAGCAATCCCCTGTTTCATGTCTAAAATCCATATATGAGTGAGTACATACCATGTTTGTCACTCAGGATGATTTCTTCCAATGCCATCCATTTGTCAGCAAATTTCAAGATTCCATTTTTTTTCCTACTGAGTAGTACTCTATTGTGTAAATGTACCACATTTTCACCATCCAGTCTTCAGTTGAGGTGCATCTAGGTTGCTTCCAGGTTCTAGCTATTACAAATAATGCTGCTATGAACATAGTTGAGCAGATGTCCTTATTGTATGAGTTTACATCATTTGGGTATATGCCTGAGAGTGGAATTGCTGGATCTTGTGGTAGACTGATTTCCATTTTCCTGAGAAACCACCATACTGATTTCCAAAGTGGCTGTACAAGTTTGCACTCCCACCAGAAGTGGAGGAATGTTCCCCGTTCTCCAATCCCCTATCCAGAATAAACTGTTATTGGTGTTTTTGATTTTAGATATTCTGACAGGTGTAAGATGGTATCTCAGAGTTGTTTTCATTTGCATTTCCCTGATGCCTAAGGATGTTGAACAATTTCTTAAGTGCCTTTTAGCCATTTTAGAACCCTCTATTGAGAATTCTCTATTTAGATCTGTACTCCACTTTTTAATTGGATTGGTTGGTATTTTGAAGACTTGCTTCTTTAGTTCTTTGTAAATTTTGGAGATCAGCCCTCTGTCAGATGTGGGGTTGGTGAATACCTTCTCCCATTCTGTGGGCTGTTGTTTTGTCTTGTTGACTGTATCCTTTACCTTTCAGAAGCTTCTAAGTTTCAGGAGGTCCCATTTATTAATTGTCGATATCAGTGTCTGTGCTATTGGTATTATGTTCAGGAAACAGTCTCCTGTACCAATTCATTCAAGGGTACTTCCCACCTTCTCTTTCAAGAGTTTCAGTGTGGCTGGATTGATGTTGAGGTCTATGGTCCATTTGGACTTAGGTTTTGTGTATGGTGATAGATATGGATCTATCTGCAGTCTCCTACACACCAGCATCCAGCTACTCCAGCATCATTTGTTAAAGATGCTTTCTTTTTTCCATTGTATAGTTTTAGCTTCTTTGTCAAAGATCAGGTGTTCAAAGGTGTGTGTATTTATATCAGGGTCTTTGATTCGATTCCATTGGTCTACCTGTCTGTTTTTCTTCCAATACCAAGCTGTTCAGGACTATATCTCTATAGCAGAGTTTGAAATCAGGGATGGTGATGCCTCCTGAAGTTCCTTTATTGTACAGGGTTGTTTTGACTATACTGGGTCTTTTGTTTTTCCATATAAAGTTGAGGACTGTCCTTTTGAGGTCTGTGAAAAATTGTGCTGGTATTTTGATAGGGATTGCATTGAATCTGTAGATTGCTTTTGGTAAAATTGTCATTTTTATTATGTTGATCCTACCTATCCAAGAGCATGGGAGATCTTTCCATTTTCTGGTATCTTCTTTATTTCTTTCTTTAGAGACTCAAATTTCTTGCTATACAGGTCTTTAACTTGTTTGGTTAACGTTATCCCCAGATATTTAATGTTTTTGCAGCTATTGTAAAAGGTGATGTTTCTCTGATTTCTTTCTCAGCCCATTTATCGTCTGTATATAATAGGGCTACTGACTTTTTTGAGTTAACCTTGTATCCTGCCACTTTGCTGAAGGCGTTTATCAGCTATAGGAATTCCCTGGTAGAGTTTTTCAGGTCACTTATGTAAACTATCATATCATCTGCAAATAGTGAAATTTTGACTTCTTCCTTTCCAATTTGTATCCCCTTGATCTCCTTTTGTTGTCTTATTGCTCTAGCTAGAACTTCAAGTACAATATTGAAGAGATATGGAGAGAGTGGACAGACTTGTCTTGTTCCTGATTTTAGAGTAATAGCATTGAGTTTCTCTCCATTTAGTTTGATGTTAGCTGTTGGTTTACTGTAAATTGCTTTTATTATGTTCGGGTATGTTCCTGTTATCCCTGATCTCTCTATTATTATGAAGGGGTGTTGGATTTTGTCAAAGGCTTTTTCAGCATCCAGTGAGATGATCATGTGGTTTTTCTTTTGCAGTTTGTTTATATGGTGGATTACATTGACGGATTTTCATATGTTGAGCCATCCCTGCATCCCTGGGATGAAGACTACTTGATCATGGTGTATGATATTTTTGATGTGTCCTTGGATGTGATTTGCTAGCATTTTATTAAATATTTTTGCATCAATGTTGGTTAGCAGGGCCTTGTAAAAAGAGCCGTGTGGTATTTGCCACTATTGCTGAGTCAGGAAGCCTCTGTTTAAAGATCTGTGCCCTCTTCTTGCCTCTAGCAAACAGAGCCCACCCGAGAAAATGCTGCTATCAAGAAGCTCTGTTTGACTTTGTTCTTTTGCTTTTAAAATCTCATTTTGAAGCTTTTGTTAGGTTTTAGTGTGGAAATTATTGTCCTCATTGGGTGCTATTTGATGATGGAGGATTCTGTCTCAACTGGTTCTACAGCTGTTTAGTCCCAAATACATACACAGAGGCTTATATTCATTATAAAGTGTTAGTCTGATGGCTTAGGCTTCTACTGGCTAGCTCTCTCTTAATTATTAACACATTTCTATTAAACTATGTGTTGCCACAAGATTGTGGCTTACCTATAATGCTCCTGCAGGTTACTCCTTTGGTGGCTACATGGTATCTCCGTTGAGACTGCTCCTCTGTCTTTCCTCTTCCCAGAAACCTCCTAGTTTGGTCGCTCCATCTGTACTTCCTGCCTGGCTACTAGAAAATCAGAATTTATTCATCAGTAAGAAAAACATATTCAGAGCATAGAAGGTCATCCCCCATCATCCATCTTCCATTTTCACACATATTTAAGAGGGTTGTATGGAGCCATGTCACCTACAGACTCAGAACCTCCAGGACTCTTGGCTGGTATGAGGCATGCTAAAGTTTGAGAATGATGACAGGAGAATAGGGCCCTGGCAGAGTTTGTTCAAGGCAAGGTTTTTAAGTCATGGGATATAGAACCAAAGAGCAGGGAATGTCAGTGGTAAGGAACAATGGAGGATGACTCTGGTTTGGGGCAGAGGTGCTTTATCATATATATATATATATATATATATATATATATATATATGTGTGTGTGTGTGTGTGTGTGTGTGTGTGTGTGTGTGTGTGTGTGTGTATGAGAGAATGAGAGCAGGAGACATAGGCTTGAGAAGGGAAAAATGGGGTGCACACCAGACTCACCATATACTTTAGAGTCAGGGGACCTTGTTATAAACCCCTAAGGAACATTTTCATATCTGTGAATTTTCAGTGAGTCACTTTGTATTATCTGGGCTTTGGATACTAAGGCCCTGGGAAGAGACAGTTGGTAGGAACATCCCTGTCTTATCCTCAAGAACAGACCAGCCAGAGATGCCACACATTGCTGCTGGTGAATTAAGTGCTCAGCCTAAAACACCAACCATAAAACACCAGGGTGAGATCTCAGTCAGAAAGAACTTGAGTCCCTTGGCTGCTACTTGTTATTTGAAAAACCTTGAGATCACTTTCATGTCCTCAGTTGTTAAGGGGGATGGAGCCAACATCTGTGTACAAGCTTGTAATCTCAGAGCGAGAAGATCAGGAGTTCAAGGTCAGCTATATGAACCTTTACCTCAAATAAATAAACTAATTAATGTAATTAGTTGGAGGGGGCTATGGATCCTAAGGATAATGTAGACCAGACAACTACAGGTGTCTGCAGTTCATATATAGGCTATTGGGCACCAAGTTAAGAGGATTTTAATGCTTATGACTCAGTGGTTGTCATGAGATTCAAAATAAGGCACCCATCTGGGTACCACTCAGCTGGGAGCCTGGTGCTAATAGGTGCCCAGAGAGTCCTAATTGCCATCATGACTACTGAAAATAGTATTGATGGCATATTGCTTGATAGCAAGTTTACCATGCAAGTTTCCAATGCCCATGTCCTCACGTGGGACCCAGATGTGAGTTTAAGTCATCAGACCCTGACTGGTGGTTTTCTTCCGAGTGTCACAAGACTGGCTCATTGCACATGAAAAGCATTTTATAGCTTGATCTGGAGTCCCTGTGAAGTGTGTAAGTCTCTCCTCTAGAGGAGAGGATGATTGGTGGCTTCATGAATTGAAATGAATAATGTGGATACAGGGTATTGAGTACTGTAATGGACTCCAAAGAAAGAACCTGAGTTATTTATGATTAATCCCAATGGGCACAAGGGGCACATGGAGCTGTCTCTTTCCTCAGATCAGCATTATTGTGGCAGGAGCTACTCCAGGTCTCCCAGTTGGGAACTTACACACACCATACAGCATTATGACGAAAGATTCCATTTTCCTCCTGTCACCACCTCTGTGCTACCACTGGTTTGCTCCCTGGTGATGTAGTGCTCTGATGAACACTCATTTAAACATGTTGTGGGGCATCCCTCCAAATCCCTATCTGCAATTCATTGCTGCTACTATTTGCCACATTTTTCTTCTGGCTTCTCTGGCAGAGCAAGAAGATAACATGACTTCATAGGTCTCCTCATCTCTCCTGACTTCTCTTTTCTTGTCTGCAGATGGTGGCTGTCTTCACTCTTTTTGCTACCTCCAATGCCTTGTCACTCAAAGAGCTGCCAGCATAAAGGGAAAACCAGTTTTCTCCAATGGAGTGTTACTGGGTATACCAATTACACTCTAGAACAGTCCTGAAGCCAAGGAGTCTACACAAAATGAACTCAGTGGTAGCTTTGTGGACTTTTATTTTCATTTTGCTTTGTTTGGCCATTTTTTGTCTTATTGACCTTTTTCTTGTTTGTTTTCATTTTCATTTTTGTCTTCTCTTTGTTTTTTGTTTTTGCTTTGTGGCTTGCTTACAGGTTTGGTCCATTATCATCATTGTGGGACAAGGCATCATGCAGGTAGGCATGGTGATGGAGATGTAGCTGGGAGTCCCACATCTTGCAGGCAACAGGAAATAGTCTGAGACACTGGCCAGTATCTTGAGCATATATATGACCTCAAAGGCAGCCTCCACAATACATGAATACACACACACATACACACTCACCCAGAGAGAGAGAGAGAGAGAGAGAGAGAGAGAGAGAGAGAGAGAATGAGAGAAAAAGAGAGAGGCACACAGAGAGATAGAGAGAGAGAGACACAGAGAGTGAAAGACTAAGTGAGAGAGAACATATAATTGGGTGTGGAGGGAGGAGTATCTGAGAAGAGTTGGGGGAAGGGAAAATCATCATCAAAATGTACTTATGAAAAATTTACTTAAAGAAACAAACTAACTGCTGCCGGCAGTCTCTGTTACTTCAGTTTATACTGGATCAGATCTCCACTGCAGGGGACTATGTTATCTTTGGGATCAATCATGCCCCTCTTCTTTAGTCTTCACATCCCCAACATCCATTGCCAAGGTCATTGGTCTGCCTTCCACCTTCTCTCTATCCCTTCTGAAAGTTTAGAATGCTAGACCTCATCAAGCTTATTCATGAGGCTCAAAAGTGACCTCATGTGGTAGGATGACTCCATTCTCAGCAAACAATTCAAAGAAAAGAAAGTAATGTACAGTACCTAGACTCTCTGTGTAGTTTCCATCTTGTATGGCTTTTTATTATCTAATTATTTATATATTCATTTATTTTAGGTTCTTTTTTTGAGACAGGATTTCTTTGTGTATTTTTGGCTGTCCTGGAACTCATTCTGTAGACCAGGCTGGCCTTAAAATTATAGTGAAACCCCTGCCTCTGCCTCCTGAGTGCTGGGATTAGAGGCACATTCCACAACACCCAGCTACTCCTATCTCTTTTTTAAGGACTGTCTCCTTGCTCTTTTCTCTCCCAAGCCTACATATATTTATAAATGTTTAGAGGTTTTTCTTCATCAGTGAGTCTGGAAAGACACTCCATGTAGTCACCGAAGGAGTAATATGCTGGAGCATTATGGGTAAGCTACAGCCTAGTGGCAATACACAGTTTAATAGAAATGGGTTAATAATTAAGATGAAGCTAGCCAGTAAGAAACTGAGCTATTGACCAAACAGTTTATAAATAATATAAGCCTCGATGTGTTTATTTGGAAATAAGCAGCTATGGGACCAGGCAGAACAGAAACTTGTCTTCAACATCTCACTTTGGAATCCTCTAACTCCTCACTCATAGCTCTTCAAAACATTTGTCAGCCACTGTCTGGCATAAAGCAAGGCTTTGTGATGTCACTAAGGATATTGCTGCCCTCTGGCCACTGAAGGCAGACACAGGAGATGGATGAGTGAGATCATGGTCAAGGAACTATAGGTGATAAGTCGTCCTTCCTTGGGGGACTACTCATGATGTATGAGCTAGATTAAATGGTTAAGCATCAACAGCACTCTTGCTTAAGGGTCAACAGCATTCTTCATTCAAAGAGTGGAAGGCTAGAGAAGAAAAGTGTTGTTTGTTTATGCTAAAACATATACAACTCTACAATCCACTTAACACATGCTCTTGAGGAGACCATTGCTGGCATCTCTTACTACTCATTTCTGTCTCCTACTGGGGTTTTATGATGGGAAAATAAACTTATTATAAAAACTTTGCACATTGGTATTAAAAACAACCCACCAACTTTCAATCTGTTGTGGTTGTCTTTATTTCTAAAGGTTTTGTGTCCTCAATGGCCCTGATTTTTATTGGGTTGCTGTTACCCCTAGTTGGCATTTACTATGAAACATAGATATATTAAGAAGTGTCCTAATGACACCCGCTGGACGCCACTCACCATTTTCCTTGCTCTGCCCTGAGCAGTCAGGCAATTTCTCCTAGATAATTTGAATCAGTCATCCAAGTCATAATGGAGAACACATCTGTGCTTAGTGTTTTATGACACAAGGGACCTGAAAAAGCCAGGATGGATAGACCTGGTAATTAGACTAATTTTGTGTCCTTAATGAAAGAGTTCCATGTCTGGGACCTAAACATCTAACTCAGCAACACCCAAAGTTAAACACAGGATGTGGGAACTTTTTGTGAGTGTATTACTGGGTCTCGTCATCACGAAGAGAGTGCTTACTTTCACTCTCAATTTTCTGGATGCATGTATTTGGTTTTATGAAAAACAACATCATACTTTGGTCACTATCTCAAAAATACATCAAATAGTGTACAGTTCAGGACTCCAACGGTACAGTTTGGTCCTAGTTAGTGCTGTCTTTAGACTTTAGTAGGACACTCCATCCTCCAGTCTAGTGGGCTACTACTTCTGGATATAGCTGGTACATGATGATGAAAAAACATGATGAGTTTGAGCCATGTGCATTGATTACCTTGAAGCAGAATTCAAAGTCAGAGCATTTTATACCCTCAGATGAATGAAGAAGCACACAGAAGAGACTATTAGCATGAGTATGGTGTGTGGTGAAGTAGAATGTTTAGTGTTAACTGTCATACTTGACAAAGTCTAGAACTGCCCTACCAAGGCCCGTGAATGGTGCTGCCAACATTCAGGGTGAGTCTCTCTGCCTCTGTTAGGCCTTCTGGATTTCCCTCAGATACATCAGAGCTGTTTCCTAGAGGATTCTAAATTCCATCAGGTTGACAACCACCATGTATTGACCATCCATAGCACAATAGGCAGGACATCTTATCTATCTGGTATGTACATCTTTGGCATTTAGGTACCAAGTTGTGTGTTCATTAGCAATTTGTCCCATAGAATGAATGTGAAGCAAAGAGAACACATTTGGACAATAGCTAGTAAGGAAGAGGAGGGTGAGAATTGCCTCTAAGGGCAAATATCTCAAGAGTGGTAGATATGTTTCATTGAGTTCTCCACATCACAGGGAGAACACTGAATCTCAGAGGGCAAAGTGATTGCTCAGGGCCACAAGGCAAGACTGTGGGAAACTGAGCCTCAAGGAGAGGGTACCTGACTGTACCTTATATGGAACACATGGTCTTTAAAGCCAGATGATGACCAATGACATTCACTCAATTTTGGGAGCAGCTACATCTCACCCTCAGCCTCTGGAGAGAAGAATGGAGCTGTGTTTTTGATAAGACAGGCTACTGCATATTGTGCATAGTGTTTATCAATATTCCCTCCAGTGCCTTACCTATGGGTGCTGATATGGTTGCACCAATCTGGACATGAGAACAGCATTGTGCTGTAGTTTGGGTTGCTAATTATGGGGGTAGGGGAACGCTGAGAGGAGTTACCACTGGGATATTAAGAAGATTGCCAGTTTTTTTTTTTTTTGCACAGTTGTTATGTAAAGGTTGTAGTAGAGGTAATGTTGCCTAAGACACCAAGGCCACTGTGTGCCACAGAAGGAGACCAAATCCTAACCGTATATTTCAGTTAGTGATAAAAGAGCTTGCATAATGAAGTCAGTTTTAATGTGGTCATATGGGATGTTATAGTATTTCAGTTTAAATGGGGGAAAACAAAACAAAACAACAGTCATTTCCATTTTCTGAGTGATTCATGAACGTTTTCAATTCTGATAGTTCAGGTTCCTAAGTGATACACACCTCCAGGATCTGGGTCTCATCTTTAGTAATGCCAAGTATGCATATGGTTCACCTGATTTGGGACACTGATGACAGGACACTGTCTCTGCATCTCTGTTCCTGTGCTTCTTACTGCCAGCTCCCAGATGGTGACTTCCAGACTTTTCTTTGAAACATGAACTACTATTGTTCATTAAAACTGTCTTCAGGTTAAAACCTGCTAAAAAGAAAACCAAATTCTTAAAAAATAAGAACAATGGAATCACTTTTCCATTACAAGTAAAAGGGATTTGTGACTGCAGACCCAAGATTGCAGATCTGCAATGGCTCCACCTTGTGGAAGAAACACAAAGATTCTTGGTCATCCCAGATTTAAACTTCGTTTTTTTTATATAGACATACCTTTAGGAGGCATTACTGAGAAATGCAATTCTTCTGTTTTCATACCCACCAGAATTCATATTTAAGACTTATGTTGGGTTCACTATATGGTTTAGATTGTATCACATTCCAAGCTTAATAAAATCTTTGAAACTACTTCTACTCTGCCATTGGAGATTAATGACTACTGGTTCCACCTCAGGCTGGTTATAATGCATTCAATGTCACAGAGCATGGGTGCAGAGACCTCGGAGACTCTTGGCTTGAATTCCATAGCTAGGTAGATTTCTTAGCAAGTATATATTGATACCAAGATTATATTTAGTTGCACCAGCTTTTGGAGGGAAAAAAGGTGGCTTTCTTTCTTCTTTCTTCTTTCTTTCTTTCTTTCTTTCTTTCTTTCTTTCTTTCTTTCTTTCTTCTCTTTCCCTCTCCCTCCCTTCCTCCCTCCCTCTCTCTCTGTTTCTCTTCTTTCTTTCTTTCTTTCTTTCTTTCTTTCTTTCTTTCTTTCTTTCTTTCTTTCTTTCTGTCTTTCTTTCTTCTGTCACAGTAGATAGAAAAATTCTTCTTGTTTCTGGTTCCCACTACTTGGTTGCCCACTGAAGTTTGTAATAGATGTCTACATTTTTCATTGTATGTGTATGTAATTAATTAAAATTAAAAATATGTTTATAGTAGTTCTTTGTGATGGCTAATACTGATTGTCAACTTTATAGAATCTTGAATTACTTAGAAGATGAGCCTTTGGGCTTGCTGTGAGGGATTATCTAGACACTCTACAACAATGGTTCTCAACATTCCTAATGCTGTGAGCCTTTAACACAGTACCTCATGTTGTGTTGACCCAAAATTGTAAAATTATTTCATTGTTACTCCATCACTGTAATTTTGCTACTGTTATGAATTGTATGTAAATACCTGACATGCAGGCTATCTGGGGATGTGACCCACACTTAGAACCTCTGATCCAGCTTATGCTAACTGAGATAGGAAAGCCTATTCTAACTGTGCACAGCACTATTTCCTGTTCTTGGGTCCTGGACTGCATCCTGCATGAAGAGGAAACAGCATGCTGAACACCAGCAACCATCACTCTCTGCCTCCTGCTGTGGATGTCACATGACCAGCTGCTGTTACCAGGACTTTCCTGCTATGATGGGTCAAATTTCGAGCCTAAACAACCCCTTTCTCCCTTAAGTTGTTTTTGTTAGGGTATTTTATCAGCAACAAGAAAAGCAACCAAGACATTCCCTTATTATTAAACATTGATATTATTAAACATTGATGTACACACCAAGGAGGCCTTGTGAATCCATAATCTTTATACTAAAAGTCATTCGTAGTAGGCACAATGGTACATACACTCATGAGTCCGTCTAGGTCAAGGCTAACCTGGTCTACATGTTTGAGAAGATCATTCACATTGAAACAGACTTTCTATTGAAAGCTTAACATAAGAAAATGGCTGTGTTAGCAGAAAGACATATGGGTCTTGGGTAGCTTTTCTTCTCAGGTAGCAAGTGGACTGCTTGGAATAGCTGAAGAAGGGAAACAAGGTCAGAATAGCTGGAAGATTCTGAATGAGAGAGGACGTACTGGTCAAAGTGGTTTGGAGAAGTACAAACTGTGGGTTATTACCACATGGGGACACATCCTTGACCTCCTTACATCGGAGATCTCAGTAAGAACACAAAGCAAGCATATACAGGGGGTAGACTGACCTTAAGTCTATGTACCAAAGGTTTATTCTGTTGAACAGAATATTGAAACCCAAATCAACAAAGAACTAAACAATTTACCCAACCTAGCTTTTCCTAATGGCTACTAAGTGGTGGAGTTGGGATCTGAACCCACATTCTCGTGTTTCACACTCTGCTAATCCTTGAAGCCCAATAGTTCTTGGAAAATTTGTGAAAATCTCTTCAAGTTTGTTACTTTCTAATGAATCATGAATGTTGGTTATGGTTTAACTGGAATAAGGGGCAGGAATGGGGAAATCTATGCAGTGATTTCCCTTCCCTGTGGTGTGACCCTGAAGGAAGAGGACGAGGTGTTGTGCTGTAGAAACAGAATGCTGTTGGTGGGAGAGGTGCCTCCACACCCGTGTCTGCATCATAAAGCTCCAAGCATGTAGACCTCCACTGAAAACATTTGCTTTTCATCTGTTTAAACTTTCAAGGAAACAGAACAGTCGTATTTGCATAGCTCTTGCTCCCATGTGAATGTTTTGTAAGTGCCATTAAATCCATATTTGGGAACCACCCAAACTACTTCTTATCAGGTGAGATGGTCTCCAAGCAGCTCCTCCAAAATGTTGCCCATTCAAGCTGATTTTAGGCAGCATGCTTACTTGTAATTGTGTGTGTGTGTGTGTGTGTGTGTGTGTGTGTGTGTGTGTGTGTGTGTGTGTGTGTGTGTCTTGGAGATAGAACCTTTCATATTCTGGGAGAGTACTCTCCTACTGAGCTACACCCCAACCCTCCTTGTAATCTCCTGAGTCCATACTGAAGAGTGAAGTCTCTGCACAGCTCACATAGCAATGGTGCATGCTCCTGATCTTCAGACCCTTAACACAGATTCCATGTGACTTCTGTTACTGCAAACACTGAGCACTAAGGATTCTGTGCATTTCCCATGACAGAGTGGATAGACATACTCAGTATTTTAATTATATTTAACCCCAGCTGTCAGCAAATTAATGAAATCACTGGAAGAAAGATTTTCAAGCATCAGTCAAATGAACAGGCTTCAAAATCTGATCATTTTTCCCTTTGACTTATCTTAAAAGAGCCTCTTTACTGTATCCATGCTATTAATTCAGCAGAGGACGTATTGCTGTCCCAGGCTTATCTATTTTATGTATAATTTGCTGGAGCAGGGTCCACCCTGTCTTTTGGGCTTGGACCACTTTGGAGTACAGATGGT